AAAATTAATGGTCAGTAGATATTTTTGGAACTTCAAACAAATGCCCCTCAACAAATTATGTAAATAAAAATTATTTTTTATTAAATAAAAGTATTTAACAAGATTTCAGGTAAGAAAAGAATTTTAAATTATTATTCATATATATTATTAAATTTAAATTTAAAATTTATATTTAAAAAATAAAAAAAAAATCAGTTTAACCCTATTGAAAATGAAACGGTAGTAATAATTTAAATATTAAACAGATAAAAAAAAAATACAGACAAAAGTAACGGAAGAAATTCAGAAAATAAAATAAACCCACCACATGGACAGCAATTTGAAGATGGCTCCTTTGTTTCCATCTCCTCTAGAGCGCCCCGTTGATTCAGCTCTCCTCCTCCTCTCCACCACACCTCTTTCTCTATCTCCTCTCAAGTAAATACCCGATCTTGTTTTTCCGTTTTGATTTCTGTGTCCGACCATATTTCGCTTGTTTGTGAAGGTTGAATTCCGGTGCCGAGGCGTCAAAGGACAGAAAGAACAGTGAAGAGAGCTTGAGCATGGCTTCAATTGGATCGAAATCATCCTCTTCGTATCTCACCAGTGATATTCCCTCTAAGGAGGTTCGACCGCATAAGCTGAGCTTTGTCGCCGTTGAAACTAGCTGCCATGAACTCATGAAACTCAAGGTCGTGGCATTTTCTGCATGTTATTTCTACTACTCGTTGCTTATTGATCTAGTTGCTAATTTAGTTCAAATTTGATGAATATCTCAACGACTGAGTGATCTAAGCTTTAAATTTAGAAATAATCTGATTGGATTTGTGCTTGGCTCCGTTGTATGGATGAATTCATTTCTGAAAGGTGATGATCTTAAAACAGGAGGCAAATCCCAGGGATCCATGTCCACAAGGGCATCGTGCTTTTCGAGCAGCTCCAGCGCTATCTCAAGCGCACAAAGCAAATACTTCGCTGGGGTTGAGAAAAAACCGACAGCAAATCTTGAGAAATTAAGGAAGAAGCGAGGCATCTCAAGTCAAATGCGCAGCCGAGATGAAGGGATTCTAAAGTTACTATCCGGCGGTGGTAGGGACGGAAACGGATCCCACGAAACAGGATCCCTCCCATTCCCATTAATGGGATTTTCACGAAGATTTTAGATAAGGGGTAAAAAAATGTCTCCTGTTCCTATACTCACACAGGTATATGAATTTTCTATTAAATATTAAATATGTAAAATTTAATTTTTTTTAGTAAAAACAATAAAAATTTAAAACATCTCAAACAAATAAATTATATATATACAGCCGAATAATGCCTAGTTTTAACAAATACATACTGCTAATACGAATGGTAATTGGCTTATTAAATTGAGATTGTTGAATTGGGTTTAGGAAAGACTAAAAAAAGAATTACTCTAGACAATTTAGATTAAGTTGACCTAGCCAATTGGATTGGATAAATCAAAATTAATAGATAATTTATTTATAAAATGATTAGTGAATATTAAGTTGTATTGCAAAAAATTAGGTGAAAAAAAATTCTAAAATTGTCATTTTAATAAAATTATATTGGAAAAAATTAAAATATCTTAATTTTTAAATTAGGAATGAGGTTATTTTAATTTTTTTATGGTACTTTATTAAAACGATATAATTTTAAGATATTTTTTTATAATTTTTTGTAATATCGATTGATATGTATTAATCTCTTTATAAAAAGAGAAAAGTGAGTATCAATCTGTATTATAAAAAATTAAAAAAAAATACCCCAAAATTTTATTCCTTTAATAAAATTTTATTGAATAAAATTAAAATATCTTAATTTTTAAATTAAAAATAAGGTTGTTTTAGTCTTATAGTATTTTATTAAAATCATATAATTTTAAAATATTTTTCCTTTTATTTTTTATAATATTGATTAATATTCAATAATCTCTCTTTTTTTTTTTTGGTGATCCCACAAAGAAAAGATTTTCGTATTTCTCCATTCATAAAATTTGAACTTGAAATCTTATTTAAGAAAAATCAAATTTTATACAGTCGAACCAACAAATTATTGGTTATATTCACTAATCTCTTTATAAAATGAAAACAATGAGGATAAGTTTTATTTAAAAAATTATGAAAAAAATAAATAAAATTTTCCATTTTAATAAAATTTTATTAAATATTTAAAATATCTTAATTATTTATATATATAGATAAATTTATATATACTTTTATAACATACGGATTTTGACAAGTCCTCACAGGATAGAAAAAAAATTTCATATGAAATTTTATTAAAAAATGCTATCCCTATCTTATAAAAGTATTTTTCGAATCCCTATTCCCACGACCAAATTCCTACACAATTTCATGAGTTTCCGAAGAAATGGCCATCCTAAGCGGTGGCTTCTCTAGAGTGGCGATTCATCGAGTTTTCGGTGACAACCCTGACACAACCGAAGCCCTTAGAATGCACTCCCTCTCATCGGCTCAGAACCTCTAACGTCTCATATGATGTGGCAATTCCATTGGGACACGTCACGAAATGATTGGATCATCCCAACTGTTCGAATCGTAAAACTCTGACGGGTGGGATGCATCCAAATCCAATCATATTGCTGGGTTCTGTTACATTTAGGCCAAATTATTCCAAACCCAAATACGTTTTGTTGTATTTTGGGCCTAATGGATGTGTTTAGTTACATATTATAGACACGCTTTATTGACCTCAATAACTTATGATTGATGAACGGTAATGACAAGATATCAACTTTGGTCAAACAACTGGGAGAATCGATTACCGTTGATCATAAATACTTACCAAATTTAGTCTAATACTAGGTCGATGATGCTGATGACACTAATAAAAGCAAGACTAACAAGAGTTTAATTGAGTTAGTACTCATTAATTTAAAATTTTTAATTTAAAATTAGAGATTTAAACCTTTGCTATACTAAAGAACTAACCATGAATGTACTAAAAAAATAAAAGCAAGAAAAAATGGTGTGTGCAGGTTAGTGAAGTTGGAAGAAGTCAAGAAAACAGGCATGGGAGGACGTCATGCCCTTATATTTACACGTATTTATGGAACTAATTTTGTTCATTGCTCTTTCATATTTTTCTTGTTTTCCAATGCCATTCTTCTTGTTCAACTGGATATAAAAACTTAATATATAATAACTGAACTCAGATGTTGAAAATGAAATTATAATTAATAGTACAAAACAGTGTTTTATAAACTTAATATTATATCAAATTATGAAATACAAACTATTATATTAAGAGAGACAACCTAATAATAAAGGAAAAACCCTTCATTCAATGATTGGTGTTTTGCAATAGCTAACCCCAACTTCTTCACAGTAATATCATAAATAGATATAAAAATGTTTGAAGAAAATTTAATTAAGTGATTTTTTATAACATAAATATTCGAATCTTTTGATTAAGACTTTTGCAGTCCACTACTTATATTCTATCTAGTATGTGCTTTTGGTGGTATAGATCACAATTTATATTGATATGGAATTAATATTGAGTCAGAATTTATCTTTTGCAGATAGCATGACAAACTAAGTAGGTATTTTATATTGAAGTTTGTCATGTGTTTTAAGGATATAAGGAAATAAAATATAAGAAGTGCTATTATTTGATGTAACTTTCATACATTTTCAAGCACTTTATCACGCCTTAAAACAAATTTTGCAGCAGGAAGTACTTACTTATATCCTGCAAAATTTTGTAAGAGTCTTTTATTTACAAGGCAGTAGAATTCAAAGGCAGTGTATTTAACCTCCAGGCTTTGGGGAGATCCTCTTATTTCCAATATTATGCAAATTACAGACTTTTAACATAGAACATTGAAGAATTGTGGCATGGCATTTGTAATTAATTTCCTTTCACATATTTGAAAATGGGAGGACTTGGTGATGATGAAAACAATCCAACCTTAGGCCGCATTGTGCCTTGCTTCAGCCTATCGCAAATAGCCGTGCAGTAATTCAGATAGACAACCACAATTCTCAGAGCATCAAATTCTAGCCAGGAAGGAAATAATCTTTCCATCTCAACCCTAGATTATCCCTACAAATTAAAAGATAAATTCAAAACCCATTTTGACGAGTTTAAATAACATAAAGTCTCACCTACAACCACTAAAAGGTAGCCCAAATGCCAGAGAAAACTGATACCCTATCCATGCCCAAAAAAATGCAGAAAGATTCTAGTAATTTTACCATGAATCAAATGGTTCCAGTGATATTAGCAGTTATAAATGCTCCAACACTTGGATGTCAAAAATAATTATTTGTATGATCAAAATAATTACATAGACAAAAACAAATTTGTATGCTGATCTTTAATCATGTTAGACCACTGCATATTTCCCTTCAATTATACACGTCAACCAAAATGCACTTTGTGCCATTTATCTAAGGTAAGTTTGTAACAGAGAAAATTAACACATTATCTAGGATTATGCAAACTCATTATATGGTATTAATTGAAGTCTCAGAAGTAAAACGGGAACAGGAGTATATCAGTATATCAACAGCTAAATTATCCAAATTCAAAAGCTTTAATTAGCTTTCATGTTTCTCTTGTATCCAAACAAACATATATACTTGTCTCAAGGCAGGGGTATCTAATAAAAACATTAGGCTATATCAATTACGGAGTAAATTGCACCGGATTTTAGTTACCTTAAGACAAGCTCGTCATAGCATTGTTCTACATTCACTCAAGTTTTTGCACTGCACTCTATAAAGAGGCATCCATATTCTTGACCCAACCCTTCCTTTGGGAAATCCGTTTCACTTTCCTGGGAAAGATCACTGAATATTAAATCCCATGCATAACATAACACTCAAGAATTATTATCCATAACATCAAATAGGTCTATGAGAAAGTTTTAGATGAACTTGAAATTAAATTGCTAACTGGAGCAAAATGAAACTCAGATACAAACACTGGTCAATCAAACAACAAATTCACTACTTCTTGAATTATATACATCACCAACTTTGTTTCTAACAAGCATCTTAATAGATTTGCAAATGTTTCCCACCGTGAAACATCATATAATATCTCAATACCACAAGTTAAAAATACTGCATCAGAATAAATTAACAGCCTCTAAGAACGATTAGCAAGTCCTTATATTTCAACCCCCTTCGCCCCCTCCCCCCCAAAAAAAAAGGAAAGGCATTGATATAATAAAAACAACAAAAGAGTATTCAAATGTAACTAACTACGAAGTCACCTCCAAAAATTGAGTCAATCTGTCCATGGCCAGAGCAGACATCTTTAAGGGCACACATGGAGACCATCGAATTTGAAACTAGGTGTCAAATAAGAGGCAGGGAAGCAAGGACTGAAAATGAATGGCAAAACCAAAACAATTAAGAAAAAGGACAAAGAAAGTTCTGAAGCTCTTACATCTTATACTGCATCAATACCACAAATAAAATATTGCATCAGCATAACTGTTTTTAAGCAGAGTTAGCAAGTACCTAGCAAGCGTACTGAAACTACTGAAATTTGGTCAATCTTTTCATCGCCTAACTAAACATCTTTAAGAGCAAATGTAGAGACTACTAAAACAAGGAATCAAATTTGAGGTAGGGCAACAAGGGCTAGAAATGAATGGCAAAACTGTAACAATTAAGGAAAACTTAAAAAGGACAAAGAAAGCTCTAAAATTTCCCTCTGTAGTTGTCTCAATACACATGCAACTGTCACAACAAGATTTTTGCTAAATCCCCTAAGGTAAACAGAAGGTAGCACATAAGAAGTAATGCATGATTCACGGTTACACTATTAAATAGAAGCCCCAAGATAATCAGCAGGCAGCGCACATGTAATGGATGATTCATAGTTGCACTACTAAATTTTTTAAATGAGTGAACATAAAAAGGGGCATACTTCAAATCATATCCTATTAGAGGAATAAAGTCACGTTCATGCATGCCTATGTCAGTAAATTTACATAGAGTGTTAAATGTATGAGGAAAAAGTCTTTGAGTCTAAAACCACTGGTTTACATAATAGAAATCACCAATGCATGGTCGACCTGTTTTTAGAAATCAAAACAGGGCTACTTTAGAATATATAAACAACTAAATTATCTAGTAAGCTTCCATACTACTTTTGCATCCAAACAACAAATAAACTTGTCTCAAGGGAAGGAGTATCTAATAAACATATACACTACTTTCTGGACATAACCCTTTCACTTTCCTGTTAAGATCACTAATGTGAGTGGTACCATTAAATTCCACATATAAAATAACGCTCAAGAATCATTTTCCATAATATCAAAAAGGTCTATTAAAAAGTATCATATGAACTTGAGATTAAATTGCTAACTGGAGCAAAATGAAACATGGTAACAAACAATATTGGTCAACTTTGTTTCCAACAAGTATCTTGATGCAGCCCTGATTAATTTGTTAAATATACATAAATATATTTAGCCCATAAATCAGATAGATTTGTGAATGTTTCCCATTGAATTCCACCATTTATTGTATCAGTACCACAGGCAAACTAAACCATCACTGTAAAAATATAATGCACATAACAACAATTCAACATGAAATCAAATCAAAATTAGGTTTAGAATCCAACCTGTCTTTTTTGCTCAGACGTAACCAAGACTATCTCACTAATAATAATCCTCCACAAGCAAAAGCAAGCTTTAAGCCTAGATCTGCAGGAGGAGGATTAGCAATTAGAACACGCTCACATTCTTCAGCAAAAGAATTAATCTGACTTGACCAGATGGAATTCATAACTCTAGAACAAATTCAGGACACATTAGGCAACAACTTTAATTAAAATCCTTTCCAATTAAAGGAAAATTTGAATTTTCATTGATCAGACTCAACTAAGTGAAAAATTGAAAGAAAAAGCAAGCATGATCAATAAACTAAACTTCAGTTTCCCCAATATAAAGAAAAAACTCTCAGAAACTTGGTTTTCTCTAATCTTCTCAGCAACCAAACAAACATTGAGCTGATGGCATCAAAACAGATAATCAGAGATAAAAACGCAGTCTCCTTGATCAAATGGAAAATGTGATAAATTTAGAGAAATCAACATTAGATCTTGAAGGAAAACATAAGAGAAAGGAAATCCCTAAGAGAGAGCAGTTTTACAAACCTAGAAGTTGAAGGATTGATGCAACAAACCCAATAAAGAGACAAGCAACGCAGAGTAACATTGAATCCCTCTCTACATTGATATGTAATTTGGACAATAATTTTGACCATTGGCACTTGGCATATGTTGAGAAGATGTACTTTGTCTTGCTTTAGAGATGTACTAGACAAAAATTAGTTAAAAGGAGATGGACCAGCAAAATTTTTCAACAAGACTTGAACTTTACCAAGCAAGCATTCTAGAAACAAATCATAATTATCTAGACATATAATGCTCCCCTCTTGTACCAAAAATATATTATATATATATATATATCTTTAGAAGTCAGATTCTCATGCACTGGCCAAATTATTAGGCAACTTCACTAAAGATGTGGAATTGTCTTATCTAATAGACAAACAAGACTCAAATAAATTATTGAAATAAAATACCAATAAAGATGGTGGAACTTAAGCTGAATTTTCATCTTGAAGGCAGAGTGATGACTTGTTGTTTGAAATGACAAAATTGTGTCCAAAGATATAAATTTCATACCTTCCTATGGTCATTTAAGAGGGACAAAGACAATATCTTCTCCTTTAAAGTAGCATTATAGGTAACTTGACATCTGATTTTGGAGCTCTCCATAGAAAAATTTAAGCTCTTGCTGATACCAACAACTTCAAATAGTGAGTAGTGATTATTTTAAAGCAAACAGGTCTTAACATGTCCCTGGTATGTATAGTGCCTTGACAAACATGCTTGATTAAAAAGAAACATGCTCATAAGAACCCTGTTTTTCCACATAACAATTGATCATTTGACGTGTCTGCTCTGCTCTTAAGAGTGAAAATTGTAATATAATTTGGACAACAGTTCTGACCATTGGCACAGTGTAGAGAAGATGAACTCTGGCTTGCTTTAGAGATGTACCAGACAAAAATTAGTTAAAAGAAGATTGAACAACAAAATATTTCAACAACACTTAAACTCTACTAGGCAAGCATTCTAGAAACAAATCATCATTATCTAGACATTAGTGCTCTCCTCTTGTACCAAAACTATATTATGCAACTTTACTTAAGCTGTGGAATTATGTAATCTAATAGATAGTCAAGAAAAATAAATTATTGAAATAAATAGATTACCAATAAAGACAACTGAACTGAGGTAGAGCAATCATTGTTTGTTTCAAATGACAAAATTGAGGCCCAAACATATAAATTTCATACCTTTCTGTGGTCATTTAAGCCTTGTCCTTCAAAGTAGTACTATAGTTAGCTTGATACCTGATTTTGGAGCTCTTCACTGAAAAATTTGAGCTCTTGCTGATAACAACACCTTCAAATAGTGAATAGTGACTATTTCAAAGTAAACAAGTCTTACCATGTCACTAATATATATAGTTCCTCTGCCAATATGCTTGATTAAAAAGAAACATGCTCATAAGAACCCCTCTTTTCCCTCATAACAATTGGTGGTTTGATGTGTCATAGGAAAATCCGTTTTACTCTTAAGAGTGAAGTTTGCAACATGGGACCGGGTGTCAAATATTATGTATTGGAACAATATATGCTTTGTGATAAGTAGTGATCCAGTAACTCCTCATCACCAGCATGCTTTCTTAGCACAGCACCAACATCGGCTTGCCCACATATGAATGTTAACCCACTAACATCCAAGGATGGGCATTATGTAATTATCTTTTGAATTAACAGTGTTTATCCAATAATTTACTTTAGCTAATGAGACATTCAGACCATGCAATCGGAAAACAAAACAAAATAAATAATTAAAAAAGGTAAAAGAAAAGAAGAGAAGTGCACTCAGACTTGAGAGCTAGTCCTTTTTTGGCGATTCTGAGAAGATAAAGTAATAGAGCATGCAAATATAGTTGATGAAAGTAAGTCTCAGTTGTTGTTGATGACGATAATGTTGTTGAATGAAATTTGAGAAGAGATATGCAATTGCAATCAACTGAAATACATATTACACAAGAAAAGCAAATACAGTTTCAAGTCTTTTTCGCACACAGTTTCAAAGACAAAATTACACAGTTAATAAAAAAACAAGCATTTCTAGTTTTCCACTTAGAATTGGACATATTTAAACACACAACACACACAGCAAAAGAAAAACAAAGATTATATTAAATTGAAAACCCAATAGCAACAGCAACTAGTGCATATGTGTTTTCCTCCAACTTTCTTGTGGTTGTAGAGCCGAATCCCAATTGCTGCCAATGGGAGAGAAAAGAATAGATGAGAGAGAGAGATTTATAAAGAGTGGAAAACTCTTATTGAGTTGAATCAAAAATGGAAAATTGAAGTCTAAAAGGCTTACATTTGCGGTGCGCCTTACCGCTGCTCAAATTCACAAAAGCGTAAAAGGATTTCTTTTACATTGGGATGGTCCCATTCCAATGAATTCCACCATTCTTTTGAGCGTACCCTAATTTTTTTGAGGGAAGGAGGATGAGATGATTGGGCATTATCAAGCAAGGGAAAATTCAGAGGAATCCTCTTTAGCTTTTGACACCCTAAAATCCTCAGACTCTGGATGGAATCACAAATCAACACACTGGAGCTGCTGCAGATGCTCTTCAATTGAAGCAAGTGCTGCAATTGCAAGCTTTGTAAATTGGGTAGAGTGACTTTTTCTTCTTCATGTTTCGATGACGATACCAACTCCTCCATTTGAAAACACCAATAAACGTCAATAGTCTCTAGAGATTGGAAGTAGCAGAGTAGCCATCCAGATGAGAATACCTTCTTTAATTGATCACAATTAGTAACCCTAATTTCTTTAAGAGAGAAAAAGCTTGTGGGAGGTACAAGTGGCGATAAACCAAGACCTTCTTCATCAAACACGCATTTCAAGTTCTTTAAATAGCCAAGTTCTAGATATTCAAGATTTGGAAGTGGGTTGAATCCTAGCCAAAAAACACTCTCTATTTTGTCACAACTCGAAAGCTTAATCTTCTTGATGGAATCACAAATCAAAGAACCGCTTCAGATGGTCTTCAATAAGGGCAAACCTGTCAAATGCAAGCATTGTAACTTGGGTAGAGTGACTTTTTCTTCTTCATCTGTCGATGACGGTATCAGCTCCTCCATTTGCGGACACCTTTGAACATAAAGAGTCTCTAGAGATTGGAAGTAGCGGAGCAACCATCCAGATGAGAGCACCTTCTTTAATTGAGCACAGTCATTAATGCTAATTTCTTTAGGAGAGAAAAAGCTTGTGGGAGGTACAAGTGGCGATAAACCAAGACCCTCTTCATCAAACACGCATTTCAGATTCTTTAAATACTCAAGGTGTAGATATTCAAGATTTTGAAGTGGGTTGAACCTTGACCAAAAATACTCTCTATTTTTCCGCCGTTCGAAATTGTAATCTGCTTGATGGAATCACAAATCAAAGAACTGCTGTAGATGCTCTTCAATTCCCACAAACCCATCAATTGCAAGCTTTGTAACTTGGGTAGAGTGACTTTTTCTTCTTCATGTGCCGACGACGATATCAACTCCTCCATTTGAAAACAGAATCGAACATCAATAGTCTCTAGAGATTGGAAGTAGCGGAGCAGCCATCCAGATGAGAATACCTTCTTTAATTGACCACACCCATTAACACTAATTTCTTTAAGAGAGAAAAAGCTTGTGGGAGGTACAAGTGACGATAAACCAAGACCTTCTTCATCAAACACCGATTTTAGATTCTCTAAATGAGAAAGGTATAGAGATTCAAGATTTGGAAGTGGGTTGAACCCTGACCAAAAAACACTCTCTATATTTTTGCATAGACAAATTTCAATCTTCTTGATGGAATCACAAATCAAAGAACCGCTACAGATGGTCTTCAATTGGGGCAATAAGGTCAATTTTAACCTTTCTAACTTGGGTAGAGTGACTTTTTCTCCTCCTTCAGATTCAGACCCTATTATCTCCTCCAGTTGCTCACAATTAATAACCTCAATAGTCTGTAGTTTCTGGAGATACCCCAACCACCTCGCCGAGGAAAATGTGCCAGCTGGTAGCGATGCTGACTCAGCAACTACTCCTACTTCCCCAAACACCGCATTCAAGGTATCCAAATTACGAAGAACCAGCTTCTCAAGGTTTTGAAGCTTCCTCCAACTTCCAATCTTCTCCCATTTAAATTTTGTTTCAGTATTTACCATTAAATGCTGAAGTTTGGAGAGATTTTGCAGCAATTCATCAAGTGTTTCAGGCAATCTTCCACCAAGACCAAGATATTTTAGATTTGTTAACATGTTGAGGCCTTGGGGTAGTTCTTCAATTGATGTCCAGGAAAGGTCCAACTTTTTTAAGCCTACAAGGTTGGATAAAGATGGTACCTCTCTTAAGGACCTACAATTCTGTAGCAATAATGTAGTAAGCTTCTCCAATTTGGAAACAGAAGTCGGCAGCCTACTTAGCTTAAGATTCCTAGAAAGATCAAGAATCTTGAGCCCAAGCATATGCTCAAAAAAAGCTTCTGGAATTGTAATAATCATGTTATTGGATAGGAGCAAGGTTGTGAGCATAGGACACTTTGGAGGCGGCATGCTTGAAGGAATTTCTGTTATGTGATTATCCATTAAAGAAACCTTCAAAAGATATTCTCTCCATTCATCCTCTTCTGGTAGCTTTTCCAAGCCAATGCCAGCTTTCACAAAAAATTGACTGATTTCCAGTGCCATTTCTCGGAGAAGATCATGCATACTCACACAATCTTCGTTGTCTCCAACCAACTCCAACAAGCAGTTGTCAACAAGCTTATCGAGTATACCATGACCCTTCAAATTCATTGCCTCCCTGGTTTTCCCTTCTTTATATATTAGCCCCTCCTCAATCCAATACTCAATTAACTCCTCTTTTGCGATTTTAGCATCTTCAGGATACAATGCACAATATAGGAAACACTCCTGGCATTGTGGTTCTAGGCATTCATAACTGAATTTCAAGCAATCAACAATGCTTTTAAATTGACTAAATTCAGAAAGTGCTGACTTCCAATTACGAGGAAGTAATTTCCCTCTCATTGATTTTGCCACTGTCACTATAGCAAGAGGTACTCCACCACATTTCTGCAAAATTTGCTCCAAAAATGGCTTTATATCTACTTTAATTCTGCCATCTGACAACACTTCACTTCCAACTTTCTTCAAGAACAATGCTAATGCTTCTTCAGGTGGAAGAGGATTCACAAGTATCACCTTACACTCCATTGCACGAGCAACATCTTGTAACCGTGTCGTGAGTACTAACTTGCAACCATTATTTCCAACTAGATTAGGAATTCCAACATCTTCTAGAGAGAAAGGATGCCACATATCATCCAAAATTAGCACAAAGCTGCCCTGCCTCAACTTTTGTGAAATCATTCCTGCATTCTTGGTTTCATTCTCATAATCCTCTGGCTCCAGTTTTAATTCTAAGCTACTTGCAATCCTCTTTTGAAACCTGCGAACATCAAACTCCCTTTTTTGCTGGACAAAAATGTCAAAGTCTCTTGACACTTTTACCCAAATAGCTTTGTTAAATTTGGGTTCTTTCAACAGTTGGTTGTGGACTTGCTTCATAATTGTTGTCTTGCCCACACCACCCATTCCCGAAACTGCAATTCTTATAACCTCGTCTCCCTTCAACCATTCCAGAATTCGATCTTGCACATCATCCTTGCCACTGCATTCATCAACGACTAGTGGAACTCCTTTGATTGAGTGATCATCTACAACCAAACTCTCACCAGCATTAGTGTATTTTTCTCCTTGCTCAAATGTTTGCTTTAATTCTTCAGTCTTTTTCTCGAGGTTGGATGATGAGGAACGTTCCCCTGGGCTGATCAGGTCTTCAACCTTTATAGCAATTTGTTGGCTTGCTTTCTCCATCCAGTCTCTAACTTCCTGCCTTGCAATCTTTCCTGGCATACACTGTGTCTTCAACTTTGCCTCAATGTCTTCCTGTCGGAGCTTTAGCTGCTCCTGCATTTCTTTGAATACTTTCGTGCAATACTCAATTGAGTGATCATCTAAAACCAAACTCTGACCAGCATTAGCGTAATTTTCTCCTTGCATAAATATTCCATTCAGTGCTTGAGTCTTTTTATCGAACTTTCTTGATGAGCAAATATATGTGAAACAACCCCCTTTACAAATCATATCTTCAACCACTGATTCGGCGGTTTCTTGGTCTGCCTTCTTCAACCAAGCTTCCACTTCCCCATTTGGAATCTTTCCGGGTTGCTTTTGCTGTGTCTTCAAGTTTGCGTCAATGACATTTCGTCGGTGCTTTAGATTCTCTTGCATTTCTTTGAATTCACTGACATAATCATTGTGACGCATCTGATACTTTACATACTTCTTAACTTCAGGGCCAACATCCTTCACAATATCAATGACTGATGTTATGATATCCATTAGGGAGTCTTGCATGTATGAAATTGTTGGGTATAAGCTAATTGTGCCTTAGAAATTTAAATGACCCTAGGAAACAGATCATCCAATTCATAAGACGAGCAAACAAGGATAAGAATTAAAGTATTTGGGAAAAAACAAATTGACTTGGAAATTAATCGTGGAAGTACTATGAATGACTAATTTAAGTATTTAGTCTTTATAAATTTAGTACTTCTTTTAATTTTTAAAATAATTTTCAAAATAA